AAAGAATGAATCAAAAATCGACTCTGGGTATTTCAACAAAATTCATAACTGACTCATCGTCCTTGGAATGCACTTTAAAAGGCCCAAACGGCATTCCTTCTGATAAAGCATTATATAAAGCATGAAAACATATTATTATAAAAGTGAATATCGGCGCTGAACATCATTTTCATTAGATATATAAACTTGGATATGCAAGAGAGACAATTATATTTTCAAAACTACTAATCCGCTAGTTCCAAAAATTTCGTATTCGTAATCACATTTAAATTTGGAGTAAGCGTTTTGTAAACAGATTTATATTACGTTGAACACATGAAGTTACGAGCATAGGAATTTCGGTGGCTATTAAATTAGTGTGAGAGTGTGACCTCTGAGAATCGCGCGGGGGTCTACTTGTAACACAAACTTTCTATGTACTCGGTACAGTTGGCTGAGATAGGTTGATATTGGACATTCTTCTTTTACGAACCTCTATGGCCCGAAAGTTAAATCAATGGAATGTCATTGGTAATTATTCGATTCCAGAAAAGAGAAACCATTGTTCTTAAATCTGTATCTGTACTAATATTATAAAGAAGAAAGATTTGTTTGTTTGTTTGTTTGTATTGAATAGGCTCCGAAACTACTGAACCGATTTGAAAAATTATTTCACCGTTTGGAAGTTACACTATTCCCGAGTGACATAAGCTATAATCTTTTTTGAAAAAAAACTCCAATAATGTAACACAAGGTGTAAAAAAAATACCTAAAATATTTGTTACATCGCGTGCCCTGCGAAAACTATTAATGATAGAATAAAATAATGTACTACGACTTTGTAGAACACATTATTATTTACAAAAAGTGCCGCGACAGCATATTATAACTATTATAGTGATGCCGCAATAGGTGTTCTTTTATTTTAAAAAATAAAACAACGTCGTTGAAATTTTTGTTAAAGACCCGAGTGGAGCCGGAGCGGGCCGCTAGTTATTTTATATAGCGGGAGTAAACAAATTCTCAAAAAAAATTGTTCAGCTAAACTATTTAAAAAATCAAATAGTATTTCTTATTGATCATAAATATTTCCGCGGACGTACAATATTTAATGGGCTCTAATAAATGAAAGAAATATTTTGATTAGTATAATTACTAATGAGCGAAAGAGATAATTTACTGTTTTATTTCGTTTACTAAAATAAAAAAAAATACAAGAAGATGATTATTTAGTTCTAAGATACGAAAAAGTGCCATAATTTGTAATGTTAAATTAGGGAAGATTTCATATAAAGCTATATACATAAACTTGGATTATATCTATACTAATATTATAAAGCTGAAGAGTTTGTTTGTTTGAACGTGCCAATCTCAGGAACTACTGGTCCAATTTAAAAAAATCTTTCAGTGTTATATAGCCCATTTATCGATGAAGGCTATAGGCTATATAACATCACGCTAAGAACAATACAAGCTGAGCACCAATAAATAATATTTCAAAATCGTGGTATTTTTTCCTTTTGAGAGCTTCCGCTGCGTGCGCTGCAGAAACGGTTTAAGTTTCGCTAAAATAATGGATGACAGAATTGTTCCCCTTTAAAAGATCTAAAATTCCGCGATAGCATATGTCTATATGTTAAGGTTGGCTCACTTTAACGTTTTTTATGCTCACCAAATTTGTTCTAAAATAAAGCATTATTTGTGAACTATTCCACGCGGACGAAGTCACGGGCAAAAGCTAGTTACATATAAGTATACTATTCCAGTATGCGATCTAACTACGTATTTCATAATATTAAATACATATAATATAAAATAAACATTTAACGTTTAACATGCGAAAGACTAACATCCTGAATATCGAACGGCACGACGTTTATCACAGCGTGTCAGAGAATGTTCACGGTAATTAAAACATTAAACACGTTACACAAAGGGCTACGGATCGTGTGACATATCTGAAGACAAATTCGTCGAAATGTCGCCAGTCGTCGGACGGTGGTCGCGACTTCGCACCGAGGTGTCGGCAAACAGCTGCTGCGACGATAATTACCAACAAAGCACATTAGTTTGCACACCGCCTTAACACGGGCCCTGTTGTGAACAACGTGAATCCAGAAACTGAATTCACACCACCGTCCCATGGGTGTACCAAGAAAAGTTATGTTAGAAATCTTGCACGCTACGCTGGCACGAGTATGTGTTAATTCAAAACGTCATTTGGTGTTAAATAAAATCATAATATGTTTATATGTACATATGTCGTTAGCATTAGTTTTTTTTCTTTTCAACTTCACTAAAATCGTCGAATATTCAGAAAACATTGATAACAAAACAATATTTTGCTGAAACAAATTCACCATTAAAAATCGTTTATATTATCATTATCGTTAAAAAATTATTTATCCAACCCAATTGTATACCTTCGAATTAAATTTAATCGATATTCTTTTTAATTTTAAATATTCATTATATGAGGCATCGTAAAACGCTTACGTAAACAGTTAGCAGCTGGTTAGCAAGACCATCAGACACGCCAGATACAATACCGTAACTATTGACAGTCGAGATGTCAAACTGCGCGGGCGCAACGCAAACAATCTGATTGTGTTTATAGACACTTAACGAGGACCCGTGACAATTCCGATTAGTGTTCAAAAAAATCTTAACCGAGTATTTGTCTTTGGCGTGTAGGTATAGCTACTTTGTGAATAACGTTAAGAGTAAAATGAATAAAATAAACATGGGGCACCCAAATAGAATAATATCTAGCAATAAATTAGCGATGCTCCAAAAAATGCCGTTACGAAATCTTTATTACAGGCACACACAGATGAAGGGTTCATTTGAACTAAATTCCCTTGCGTCATAACCAGTTAGGTCTGGAGGACGTCACCGATAAATATCGTTAAAAAATTAACTAGATAATTTTAAAAACACTCCAAAATTATCATTCATACCAATCCATACTAAAGTTATAATGTGAAAGCATGTTTGTTGTGTATTTATTGTCCTGCTTTCACGTCGAAATCATAGCAACGGTTTTTTTTATGTATGAGGGATTACTGGTGGCCCGGAGGCCTTTCTAGTTCCACTAGGGCATGTGGCCTAGGCAAGGCAAGGCCTGAGCAAGGCCTCAGCCAGGAGGGGTGGGATTGGCTAACAGCTACCCGAGCGCCTTCAAACCTACCATATACCTAACCACCCAGAAGTAGCTGCTTGAATCTACTACCGGATCGGAATCGCGACTCGCTGAGAAAATCCGGCCAGAAAATCAGCGGGCTAATGTTTTGGTTAGGTTGCACGTCGATCTCTTTGCCGATTTCGACGAGTACGGCTACCGGGATCCCTAAGCCTGCTCCTAGTGTTAGAGCCGAAGGCGTCTAATGGAAGGGTTGACACTTTTCTTGATCACACAGGCGAAGCCGCAGGTAACGGCTAGTAGAATATAATTATATTATTTTCGTCGCGATAGCCTGGGACTGCGACTGACTGACTGTCCTTCTGGCAATACTACATTAGTTGGGTTGTAAGCTCTTTTGCTTACAACGGCAAAAAGCAGCATTCATAAATGAAATAAATATAAAGAACGCGCAATTCAAAACGGTAGCTATAATTGTTCTTCATCCTGAAAACGAACCGGTTGTCATTCATGTGCTTAAATAGGTACCTATGATGTGGATTAAATAATAGTATCGTTTAATTATCATCGATTAACATCGAATTATTATTATCAGATCTGTTATGTACGGTTTGTACAGAAAATAATCCAATAGAAAATAAAGACTTCCATCCTAATATAGTTTTGGCTTGATCGATAATTGAAAGTGCATTTGAAGCTCGAAAAAAATATATCTACATTTAAATTGAAATGGTTTAATTATCTATTCAGTTTATTTATTATTCGCTACCCATTCAGCAGAATTTTGAAGTCGTCGTGGCCTAAAGGATAAGACTTCCGGTGCATTCGTATCTAGCGATGCAACGGTGTTCGAATCCCGCAGGCGGCTACCAGTTATTCTAATGAAATACGTACTTGACAAATGTTCACGATTGACTTCCATGGTGAAGGAATAATATCGTGTATTATAAATCAAACCCGCACAATTATAATTTGCGTAATTACTGGTGGTAGATCCTCTTGTGACTCCGCACGGGTAAGTCCCACCAACCCGGCCATTTTTGTCGTGAAGCAGTAATGCGTTTCGGCTTGAAGGGTGGGGTAGCTGTTGTAACTATCTACGTTGTAGATGTCTATGGGTTCCAGTAACCATTTAACACCAGGTGGGCTGTGAGCTCGTCCACCCATCTAAGGAATAAAAAATATCACTGGAGAAACTCAGTGGGCTATATCTGTAGGATTGTATTATATTACAGCTATCCTATAATACAAATATAAATGCATGACTACTCCGCGTCAGAAATAAATAAGACGCCCATCCGCCATCTGTTAGCGATGGCAGTACGTGGTAGTACGCCCAGTACAGTATAATAAATACTCAGAGAATGTTACTGCTCATTACCCGGATAATCCCTTAATCGGTCACGATAGTTACGACAAGAGACACCCTACACCACAGAACATTTTTTTTAAATTTAAATATGAGTATTTTCTACCCGATATTCAGACATCCGAGGCAACGCATTGCTAATTACCAAGGACATAGCTTAGTAATCATTCAATTAAACAAATAAAACTGCAAACGTTCACCTGGATTCAATTTTTTTTTCTACCATTGTTTTCAATTACACTTCCAAAACTTGGAAGCTTAGGAATATTTATTTCCTCCTTATTCCGATTGAAAAAATCTGTAGAGATCCTCCATATTTCAATATATCACGAAAAATCTTCGATTAAAATATTGACATGGTGCTAAGTGTGGTCTTAGGATACTAGTGCTTTGGGGTTTTCCATTTCGCTGTGGAACTCTAAAAATGAAAAATGAATAGCTTCGAAATATGAATAACCTGTATATTTAGTTTTTACCTTCGTGTGTGCTTACAATATATTTTTTATTCAGATGACAAGAACAACAGAAGACCTAGACGAGCCGGACCGGAACGCAAGCCACGACAAGCTTACAGCGCTAAACAGCTAGAGCGACTAGAAGCCGAATTTAAATTGGACAAGTACCTCAGCGTTTCAAAGAGGATGGAACTTTCAAAAGCATTAGGTCTGACAGAAGTACAAATTAAGACCTGGTTCCAGAACCGCAGAACGAAATGGAAGAAGCAGCTAACATCTCGTTTGAAAATAGCACAACGTCAGGGTCTCTTTTCTGGTCAAATCTTCGGACATGCCCCGCAAACTTATTCCCTTTTAAATCCTTACGCGTATGCGCCGCTCAGCTGTGTTTTTACCCCTGTAACATTGCCTTCCACTCCACCATAGTAATAATGATATAATTATGAGAAGTCTACTCGTGATCATGGTTATAGCTTGAAAATATTAGCAATTACCGATATTAAGTTTAAATAGCAAGCTAAATGCTCCAAGAAAAGTTACTCATACGATTAAAATAATAAATGACTAGTAGTTAGTTCGTCTTGGAAAACTTGTTTTATAACGATGTAAAAAGTGCATTGCTAATTCCACAAAATTAAAAACTAGTTGATCGGTACATAAAATTTACTACAGTACTTGCATTATCAAGGGAGTAGTTATAGTGTAGTCGAAATCTTTCTTAGCTTAAGGATCTGTATTTATGAAAATATTAATTTGCCTTTATTATTTATTATGATTGTACAGTTCTAAAATAATTATTAACACATTGATCTCATGATATGTTATTTTAAAATCTAAGATTTAAATGAATATTACAAATCAAAAATCAACATGAAGTAGTTTCAATCATTCGACTAAGGACATATAGCCTTATTAGAAAACGCGGGAATAATGACAGCTGATCTGAATCTTTATTAGTTTCACCACAATTATAAATAAGGCCGAGCCATTGATACGTTAAAACGAATATGACATTAATTTGGCTTAAAATAAAGCTGGCCTTGTTCTTTATTTTTTTGCGTATACGGAACGCAATGACCGCCTATTGTTAATAGGTATTGGTATATATAGATATCCGGAGTTGTTAAAACAATTGTTAGTTATGGAAATTATAGGACACAGAACTTTTTAATTAAAATAATGCAATACGATAGTGGCGAGTTAGTTACCACGCTTACACTTTTACTAAATATTATCTCTTATTTTATCATCGATAATATTATTGAAGGCGAAATTTACTACGCTAAAAGTAGGCAGAATGGGGAAACCATTACAGGCTTGCAATTTTTCTCAACAAAAATCAACAAATGCAACAAAAATATTTTTTTAAATTAGTCGATAATGTTTCCAACATATATTAATTATAATATTAACGGGCCCGACAGACATTTTTTTGTACACACGTCTTATGCCTAAAAATTACAAACTTTTTGAATAAGTTGTACATTCTGGGCCGTTTTGAAGAAATTAAAAAAAAGTTCTTACAATACCAGATTGTCAATCTAAACCATTCTCGAATTCACGACCACACAAAAAAAAATCATCAAAATTGGTCCATCCGTTTAGGAGGAGTTTACTAACATACATACGGACAGAAGAATTATATTTATTAAGATTCTTTTTTTTTCCTACGTTACTATCACGAGTAGCTATCCTGACTTCATCATGACTGGTGGCCGAGCTCACGGTGACAGATTTGGTAACATCTACCCTAATAAGATCAGTGCTTCGCTCAATCTAGTACCGGATCGGAATCGCGACCCACTGAGAAGATCCGGTGAGTTAAATAATTCAGGTGTACAGAATCTAAAAGTTTATGAAGAAATTTCTAAATGTGTTTCTCCGTAAGTTTGTCAATAAGGTTCATTTCACAACTTTTATAGCGTGTTGACATGTTTGATAGTGGCGCGAAAAGTACATAATCATTAAACTCGCTACTTTTATCGCCTCATCTAAGCTGGACTGAAAGGTAACGATATAGCATTGAAAAAGATTACTATGATAGATATACACTACGGAAAAACATTATAGTATTAATTATATTTAATACTTATGCTATATTTAATTTAGTTAATGAAAACATAGTCTACTTATATGTGAGTATGTAAATAAATAGAATGTTTTGAATATTGTTATTTTTTTTGAAGTTGAAGTGTGAATGTGTTTTTTTAAATTGTTACAGTAAGCAAGCACAACTGTGTGCACCATGTAAGAATGCACACAATTATTACATTATTATTACAATACCGACTGCATTTAGGTGCCCGAACACTTAAGACTTGATTCAGAAACCTGATATAAAGTAGAAAAATATATAGGTATATCACATAACTATGTGCCGTTGTAACTATACTTGAGACCTTAGAACTTATATCTCAAGGTGGGTGGCGCATTTACGTTCTAGATGTCTATGGGCTCCAGTAACCACTTAACACCAGGTGGGCTGTGAGCTCGTCCACCGATCCAAGCAATAAATAAATAAAAACTTAACACCAGGTGGGCTGTGAGCTTGTCCACCCATCTAAGCCATAAAAAAAAACATAATTTCAAGACCAAAAAACCGCCTTCAGAAAAATGGAAATTGTCAACGATGTGGTCGATGTCAATTAAAATGTAAAAATGTATTATTATGGATACCTACTCAAAAACTACTGATCTGTCTGACTATCAGATCATGATAAATGGTGCTCTCAAATAAAAAAAAATCGGTTCACGTAAAAAATAATCCTGAATTAATACAGATTAAAGAAACAGTCGAATTGATAACCTTATCTTTTTTAAATATACATAATACAAAATTATTAATGTACATAATTATGCGAGTGTGGCTAATAATACGGTTTATAAAATCGAAATGTTTATTTTGCAAAGAATAGTTAAAAGACCTTCAATGTGGTTTTGTTATGTAGAATATAAACTTTTGTACTCTATCAATTGGGGTCACAATCGACTGAGGGATATATTTTATCACATGAAGCACCACCCAAGCCAAGAGCGACGGCTTGCAACGCACCCAATGCTCCTCCCCGCAACCATGCCACTGCTGTGCTAAAAATCAAAGTTAATAAATTATAATAAATATATCATAATAAATATAAAAGTTAATAATTTACTGGTGGTAGGACCTGTTGTGAGTCCGCGCGGGTAGGTACCACCACCCTGCCTATTTCTGCCGTGAAGCAGGCGCATTTACGACGTAGATGTCTATGGGCTCCAGTAACCACTTAACCCCAGGTGGGCTGTGAGCTCGCCCATCCAAGCAATAAAAAAAATAAAAATAGTTTATCTTATATTCCTCGCTCAATTTTTATGTATAAAACTAGCAACCCGCCCTCGCTTCGCTTCGGAAACATTAAATTTTATTATTGATAGGCAAAAGCCTGCATTTTGCGCGCGGTACGACAATAACTGCGGGTGACGCCGCGGGGCGAAGCTAGTCTAAAAAAGTAGCCTAAGTTACTCCTTATATCATCAGCTACCTATTAGTGAAAGTCTCATCAAAATCGGTCCAGCCGTTCCAGAGATTAGCCGGAACAATCAGACAGACCGACAGACAGACAAAAATAAAAATAAAATGTTATTTTGGTGTATGTACCGTATATCATATGCATGTAGTAAAAAGCGGTTATTTCATAGTGCACATAGACATCACCACATAAACGCCGGCATCTAGCGTGCGATTTTTTTTTATTGCACGTCTAGGCAGACGAGCATACGGCCCACCTGATGGTGAGTGGATACCGTCGCCCATGGACTTCAGCAATGCCTAGGGCAGAGCCAAGCCGCTGCCTGCCTATACTCGAGTTGCATTATTGATGGAAGTTCTATATTTCTACCAAATCTAAACTGATGTTTATCATTTTACTTAATACTAGTAAAAATCGATATCATGCCGGTATCGGTGGTTATTGCAAGCATTTGTAATTTACATTTGCCGACACGGTTCTAAGCCATAAAACATTTAAGCGTGCCGTATAAGGTTTCAATTTTATCTTTTTTTTTATTGCTTAGATGGGTGGACGAGCTCACAGCCCGCCCACCTGGTGTTAAGTGGTTACTGGATCCTATAGACATCCACAACGTAAATTCGCCACCCACCTTGAGATATAAGTTCTAAGGTCTCAATTATAGTTACAACGGCTGTCCCACCCTTAAAACCGAAACGCAATACTGCTTCACGACAGAAATAGGCAGGGTGGTGGTACCCACCCACGCGGACTCAGAAGAGGTTCTACCACCAGTAATTACGCAAATTATAATTTTGCGGGTTTCATTTAATCGAATTAAGAATGCGCCAACCGATGAACAAGCATATAATTTGATAAATTAATTAGTCATTATACTCACTGCCAGACAGGCAACCAGAAGCGATTACCATCGCGAAGATCTCTTGCGAGCTTGTTTCCTAAGCACAGTACTCTGTACAGACAAGCCGTTGAACGTGGTTTTGCGGCCATCAAGGCGTAACGAACAAGCGTGTTCATTGTCGATATTGAACCTTGCTGCTCAGGAATTGGAGTTGCATTTTCCTCCCGCGTGTAATGCAATTGAGAATCCCTTTTAACTCGAAAGACCTCTTCAATGTTCACTGAATCACCGCCATTATCTATTTGCATAACGGGAGGTTGTTGTGGATTCTATAAAAATGTTCAGTGTTAATACTGGTCCCTTTTTATTGGAAAGGCGACTAGCTAACGTCTCATTTCAGTTCAAAATTCTAATGATACAAATATGTACAATATACTTAAATGTCAAAAATCATAAAAATGTAGGACTCGTCGAATTTAGATTTCTATTGTTTAAGTTGTTTTCATTTGAGTTTATTTTCTTTAGCTCCGGCATCCATTGCACACGTGTTTTTCCTGCTCTAAACTGGCTAAGGAGCTCAACTTGGACTTCTGTGCTCACTGACGTAAAGGTAAAATAGCGTAACGCCGAGAGCTACCTTGAGATATGAGACCGAAGTCACAATTGTATTATGCTCGTATAACTTAACAGCTGTTCCAAACTGAAAAGTTTGATTGCTCCGCAACAGACATGTTTTAAACTACCAGTAAAATAAATATTTCATAAAAAAAATCCCTACCTATTCGCTGATAGCCTGAGAGGCTATTCCAGCTACGCCCAGACTGTTAGATGAAACATGTCTTGTCGGATCCCCGGATCCACTTTCGGTACTTTTAGGCTCTCCAAGCACTGGTTACCTTATCGAACTCGTCAATTGCGACGAAGAATTCGACGAGCAAACTAACCCATAGACACTACCCACTGAGATTCTCGCCGAATCTTCGCAGTAGGTCACAATTCCGATCCGATGGTAGATTCTCCGAAGCACTGCTCTTGTTAGGGCTACTATTAGCAAATTATCTCAGGTTGAGCCCCTGAGCTCACCTACCTACTAAAATAATCCCTTAGGCTACCAGCGAATAGGTAGGAAAAAAAGGAAATCAACGTCGTTTTATGAGCAAAGAACTTGAACTCACCGTAGTAATACACATTAAAACTTGTAGCACAAACATTCCGAAGGACAAAAAGGCTATTCCAGTAAGCGATACATCAAAAAGATCAGCTAGTCCTAACCCATGCGATTCACGTTCTACGACATATTCGTCTTCTGCTGTATGGTGATCTCGTGGCTTAGATTGATGGTACATTGGCGGTGGAGGAGGAGGCATAGAATATTCGTATCCACCACCTGTAGGAAAGAAGTATTTCCAGAATATGACGTCAATTTTGGGGTTACTGACTCTCAAATACATTTCATTTACTAAGAAACATTTGCTTTCATTTTGTTCAGCTAATTCGGCTTTTATGAATTAAAAAGCATAAAATATTAAATTTACATTACTCAGTTGATTAAAACGGGTCGTTTTTAACAATTTGAAGTGAAAGTGGACTTGACTAATCCAAAAAGCTAGACCCGACATTAACAACATTAACAGTGGTGAACATATTGGTGGCTAAAAGAATTCATAATTACTGTATTTGGCAATATCATGAGCAACTATTCCGGGTTCAGCATAGTTCACTTCGCCACCTTCGTACACCTCGTAACCTTCTCTCGTTTGTAAATTAGGAGTGTGTGGAGTGGCCACAGCAGCAGACGTATTGACTTTCCCAAAATGTAAATTGGCTGCCTTGTTATTATTCCGATTAACATCATTCAGAGATGCTACCCTAAAAGTATTTAGAAATTATGCAGCAATATTATTGATGATGATTCTCGCAGTATTCTATAAAAGGAAAAAAAACTTTGAAAGTTTTAAAAATGTTCAAAAAGAAACTTATTCTGTGGAGGTTTCCTGGAAATCATAATCGTTATAACGTTCTATGTCCAAATCTTAATTTTAATCTAGTTGCTGTAATTGTGTAAAATATGTTATCTTGTACGATTAATGTTTTCTATTTAAAAAACTTAAATAAAATACGCAGCTTTCTTTGTGAAATTTACCCCAGCTGTTTGACTTAAAATGGAATATGATCACGTTTGATAGACGTATACAAACATTAAGTGTAATAACTAGGAGAGGCGCCGATGTAAATTACTTTTACAAACCGCGAAACATTTAACTCCGTCTGTAAAGGATGTGAATTTTCGGACATTTTCTAGCGCACTCAAAATATACAAGCCTGGGATGGCGTAAAATAAACATACATACATATGAACATATACAGCATCAAAATCATTATTAATGTCTTATCAATTAGTATTATTATCAATGTCTTATCCAATATTTCGACCAGCTATAATCATTAAGTAACCCTTAGTTTCATAATAATCAAATTGATTCATAAAACATTGAGCAAATAGTCGGGTAATGAGGAAATGAATTAATCTTATTATAATTTTGAAAATTCAAGCATTGTATGTTTATGAACAGACTAACTCACAGCTTATACAGTTTTCCACTCAGTTGTTGCAGGATTTTATCCCTTCATCATCGTTCGTGACTATCATCATCATCATCACGTGCTAGGTTTGTATTTACATACAGAACTGGGTATCGGCCAAAAATTTTAACAAGTGCACCTAAGCAATTCGTACATTCAAATACCAAATCTAACCAACGTGATCGGTCGGTGATGATGACTTCGAGTTATCGAGTTTATGGAAACTATAATAGTATTAGAGGTTTGTTCTATAATGACTACTAAAAGCATATGGGATGGTTTATCGGAACTGGTGGGTTAAATTTTTAATGCAATTAAAAGTATAGTATAGTAACACTAGCCCTAGACACAGCCCACTGAGTTTCTCGCCGGATCTTCTCAGTAGGGTCGCGATGCGGGTAGATTCTGCGAAGCACTGCTCTTGTTAGAGCTAGTGTTAGTAACCTCGTCAGTTTAAAGCCCCGTGAGCTCACCGATTCGTTCCACGAATCTAGTATGAGACCTCGAGGCTACTAGGATATGTAGGTAGGAAAAAAAATTTAGTAGGTATGTAACTTTCTTAACTTTTTTTATTTATTGCGTAGATGGGTGGACGAGCTCACAGCCCACCTGGAGCCCATAGACATCCACAACGTAAATGCGCCACCCACCTTGAGATACAAGTTCTAAGGTCTCAAGTATAGTTACAATGGCTGCCCCATCCTTCAAACCGAAACGCATTACTGCTTCACGGCAGAAATAGGCAGGATGGTGGTATCCACCCGCGCGGGCTCACAAGAGGTCCTACCACCAGTAATTACGCAAATTATAATTTTGCGGGTTTCATTTTTATTACACGATGTTACTCCTTCACCGTTAATTCCGTTAACTTTACAATAGGTCAAAAACTTACTTGGCCAACCATTCTTGGTAATTAGCAGATCCTATATCGTACAAAAAATTGTTTCTAACGTCTTGTGATCTCTTCGTAAATAATTTAGAGTCTTGCCACTGAAATGGTATACCTACACGATTTTGCAAGGCGCTTTTGCCCATTTCTTCTAAAATTTGTTCTGCCACGTAATTACGACAATGGTACTCGTTCATCATCTTTCTGAATTAAAAAAAAAATGGTTTACATCAAACAAACACAGGTATTATTTAAAAAACGCGAGCATAGAAATGGCGGAAAATTTTAATAGATTTTACCAATTATGCATTCTGTTGTACTGATTTTTTATTGCTTGAATAGGTGGATGATCGTACGACCCTCTTGGTGTTATGAGGTTACCGGAGCCTACATACATCAACAGCGTAAATACCGCCATCTACCTTGAGATAAGAGTTCTAAGTCTCAAGTTTATACTACAACCGCTGTTCCACCCTTCTAACTGAAACACATTACTACTTCACGGCAGAAATAGACAGAGTGATGGTACCTACCCATGTGGGCTCACAAAACGCCACAGCACCCGTAATTACGCAAATTAATTTTTTTGTGGGTTTGATTATGATTACACTATGCTATTCTTTTATCGTGGAAGTCATTCATGAACATTTGTTAAGTACGCATTTCATTAGAAAAACTGCATACAATTTCTAGTATACATTCCCTCGGGTACTATAATCTGTCTGTTTTTCACTCAAGAGATACAATTACATACAGCGAAATGCGGTAAACGAGAATTAATTATTTTGTATAACGGCTATCTAGATTTTTTAAACCTAAAAGCATGACGGCGGAAATAGATACATATGGATTCCATTTGGCGATCATAGTATGCTGGTATAATAATCAGAGAACGCTGTTTTCCATTCTCTTGTGAATCCCTTAATATCCTTTTACAATACTGACGGGAATAAATGTTGTTATTTTAGGCATCAAACAACCAATAATAATAATATTATTGAGTATAATTAATGAAATGTAAATTCTTAGTAGAAGACCTTATCACGATTTAAATATTATTGTTTAGATGCAAGATATTTACCGATAATCATGAGTTAAATCTATTGAATTCCATTTCCGCTCAATTAGCTAAGTATAAATTTCTTATTCTAGATTAATTCTAGAATAATTTGGAAATCATAATTATTGCATATAATTGGCGGGTCTGCTGTAATATAAATTTAAATTATTTACCTGTGAAAAGCCAGTGTAGACAGGGCAGCATCAATAGATCCATTTACTGGTGGAACAAAATTATATTTGCTGTTGGTTAAATTGGACATTTGATTTTCTTTATCTTCCATGAAATACGTAGGCATGAGATCCGTACGTAAAATGTCGTTCACGTTTAAATCGTTTTCAAGCGTATTCGTTCTATATATTAAACGAATGAAAGTAAAGAAAAATCCCAAAATTTTGTGAAACATTTTGTTCTTATGCTGTATGTGCAGCCACACAGAAACAAATGAACAGCCCGTGAGCATTAGTAAGTTGTGTAGGTATATTACATGGATTATAAAGCGGAAAATCTTCGCCGAGTAAACGTTGAGGTTGAAGAACGTTTTCATCTAGATACGCACGTAACTGTTCATTAAAATAAATGCCTTACATACGTTGCTGTGGACAAAAGGTACCTATTTATTTATTTAGTATCCAAATTCGAAATTATTAAAATATTATATTAATAAATCATCGGTATTATTAGTATATTATAATAATGAATTTTGATTATTCAGGTTATCATCACATGAAAAGCTGTATGCCTAAGTCGGTGGTTGAATGTAATTGATCCGAGACCGACACTTCTGCCTATTTCTATTGCAAAGCAGTCATTTTTTAACACGCTTTTATTAGCTTGACTTGCATCTGATCATTCAATCTAACTTGAAAATTTCACAAGTATCAACACCCGCTACTAAGCATTTTTTGTCACTTTAGACTGATATCATTTTTAATTTAATTAGGCCAGTTATCTAAGGGTATTTGTTATCTTACTTTTTTAATTAAATATTTAATAAATTGCGCGAGCGATATGTTAAACAATACAATTATGATTTCGACCTCATGTCTCAAGGTAGGTAGGGGCCTGACGCAGCTAGCCAATGCAATAAAAAACTGAGATCCTCTTTCGATAATATAATTTAAAATGTTTGTAATTGAAAAGTTTAAAGGAGCCTAACCACGCTAAAGATGTTTAAAACAAAAGCTTGCCTAAACAAATCCCGAGAAAAAGCATTCAAACCGTGATGTCGATCTACCAAGGAATAATCCCGTTTGGAGAAAGGTCACTTTGTCGTTTTTTGTACCTAGTTACTGAATCGAAAATGGTTATTTTTAGAAACTACCACAACTAGCCCTTTCTGTAGCGCTCCTAGTTTCCTACAAGCTCTCAACCTTGGAATAGAACCTTAGGTACGCAAATGCCAATCTTAAAATTGAAATAATTATCAAAGTAATTTTGCTAATACAATTATAAAGGAAAATGGCTGGAGCAAACGACCCCCTCTGCTTATTAGTGGGCTTTGCGAGGGCGGTAAAAGGATCTATTGTTGTATGACAAATGTTCCAGTGTCATACAAACGACGTTTGACGTGAGAACAAACCATATTGCTCTCAACCCAGAATAGCAGTTTTATAAAGAGTGAAAAAATAAATTTTCGTTTCAAAACATTTGTTGGAATTTTATTTTTAGGATACCTAAAATAATAGCTGTGGGTATTTTTATTGATTAGATAGATTGTAATAATAAATAAATGTCCAGGATAAATAGATTCGTCCAAAAGGCTTTACAATTTCTCAGTGTAAAAAAATTGCACGTTGTAATCTCAAGTGGTTTCAAATTTCAATAAACATTGCGAACCAAAGTATTTGATAGACGTGTATTAAAATGCCGGATTAGTAAATAAAATAAGATCACTGGACGCGGCGTTTTATAAGAAAAAGTGAATTGAGCTCGCTATAAATTATTACAATTTTTTTTTTTTTCATGTCATTCAACACCTACGGTTTAATCTTTTCTGACGTTAAATTATATAACTTAATAATAAAATTTGCTCCATTTTACTTTTTACATTATGTAACAAAATCTTGGCATAGGCCTTTGTTACGAAATTTTTGGCTGTATGGGCTATATTCTCTTTTCATATTTGATGGAAAAAATATGTCAATAAAAAACTGTCAATTATCTAGTGCTCTACTTCTATTCTATGTTCTGTAATCTGTAAATAATATGGTATTGTTTCTTCGAATTGCTTCAATTTCGGATTTAATATTAATGTATACATTTTTGGAAATATAAATTAACATCGCTGAAATGTTGACTTTATAAGTTGGATGATATTGTATACAAAATGGGTACCAACGGCAATGGTCGTCGCGGAGGTACTAAATTACCGGATGTTCGCCGTCCCCTGGAAGAAGGAGATTGCGTTAACGACATGGAGAGCCCCGAGCTTGACTTCGTCTACGATGACTGTGATACTCAAGCCAACGAAATTGCTGAAATATATAGTTACACGGAACATCCCGAATATCAGCTAAACGTTAAGGCTTTTGAGGATATAATGGAAGAATTTAATCATCCACCGAGTTGGCAAAGACTAACAAAAAAACAACAACAAACTGTAGTAATGATGCTATTGGAACATCTCGACGTAGCTATCTCCGAAATTCGTATGCGTGCTATTCGTTGCATTCTCTATCTGGCCCAAGGGTGCTGGGCAGAAATGCAATCGGATGCCGAACAAGGACATTGGGCTCGAGTGAACATTATGACATTATATGAAATGGGAACATTTTCAATATTTGTGGAATTGCTTAACCTCGAGATTGTTCATAGTAGCTCAGCTATAGCTTCAAGAAAATTGGCAGAATCGTTAGCTGACTCTACAAACTTGCGAGTGATACTGACTGTTCTATATCTTATAACTGAATACATGAGAACAGAGAAAAACAATCCAGATTCTGAGTATGCACATCTCGTGAAAAATTTTACTGAAGAATTAGGCACACCATTTGGTGATGAGTTGTTACCTGTGAAACTATTAAGTATGGTTACGCATTTGTGTGCTGGGACTACACCACACTTTCCAATGAAGAAAGTTCTCTTACTTTTGTGGAAAGTGTTATTAGTTTACTTGGGTGGCTCAAAGGAACTAAAAGAAAGAAAAGCAAAGTTGAGGGAGCAACATGGGCTCCCTCCCATCAGTGAAGATACGTTGGAAGTAATAAAGGGAATGAGAGCCAGTTCACCACCTCCAAATGCTGCAGATGTGTTAGAAAATCAAAATCCTAGTCAAAGAAAAGTAAAGGAAAATGAAAGAGCCCTGAGGAGACAAACATTTACTAAACAGACTTCTCTAGATGAAACTGATGAACAAATATTTGTTGACAAAGAAGACACTGGAAATGGATCTGAAGATTATCCTATGGAGTTTCAGTCAATGTCAAGTGACAATCAGCAAGGTGAAAATAGCCAAAATTGTCCATATTATGTATACTTTAAACAGTTGGATAGTCCACCACCCCCACCGCCACTACCCCGTAGTCTGCCATGGCAGTCAAAGGTTCGTCAAAAAGATATTGATATGTTTCTAGATAATGTCCGCATTAAGTTTGTAGGCTATTCTTTACCTGGTGATAGGCAAACAATAGCTGGACTGCCACAGCCCATCCATGAGGGTATTGAGATATTAAAGAAACACATGTACACAAGTCTATCAGAAATCCAAGTTGAGAGAGAAATTGAGATTGCATGGAGTCCTCTTACTAGGGGAGAAAAATATGTAGAAGAAACTGAAGCAGAAATTCTATATAGAGCTATGCTACCTAATTTGCCTCAATACATGATTGCTTTGCTAAAGATACTCTTGGCTGCAGCTCCCACTTCAACTGCAAAAACATATTCTATTAATATTATGGCTGATTTGTTACCTGAAGAAATGCCCATGACAGTTCTCCAATCCTTAAAACTAGGCATAGATGTAAACAGACACAAAGAAATTATTGTGAAAGCTGTCACAGCAATCCTATTACTCCTCTTGAAGCATTTTAAACTAAATCATGTCTACCAATTTGAATTTATGTCACAACATTTAGTTTATGCAAACTGTATGCCGCTGGTTCTCAAGTTCTTCAATCAAAACATACTGTCTTATGTAGGAGCCAAGAATTCCATCCCAATATTTGATTTCCCTGCTTGTGTTATTGGTGAACAACCAGAATTAACTAAGGAATATTTAGACATTGGAGATTCCTCTGTTCCATATTCGTGGAGAAATGTATTCTCATGCATAAACCTATTGAGAATTTTGAATAAATTAACAAAATGGAAAAATGCTAGGATCATGATGCTAGTTGTATTCAAAAGCGCACCAATTTTGAAAAGAACACTAAAAGTAAGACATGCCTTGATGCAGTTTTATGTACTGAAATTACTAAAAATGCAAACTAAATATTTAGGAAGACAGTGGCGAAAAACAAACATGAAAACAATAAGCGCAATATATTCAAAAGTTCGTCATCGATTAAATGATGATTGGGCATTTGGAAATGATGTAGATGCAAGACCTTGGGACTTTCAAAGTGAGGAATGTGCATTAAGAATCAGTGTAGACAGATTCAACCACAGGAGATATGGTACAGGTACAGAACAAGAAATTGATCTGACTCCCTTGGACACAGACATAAACAGTGTCCTGGAGAGTAACATAGACTTAGATGAAGAGTTCAAAGAGAATTATGAATTGTGGCTCGAACAAGAAGTCTATAATAATGAGATCAACTGGGATGTCTTATTATCTACATAGAGTTTAATCTTTTTGGCCAATAGAGGCAAGTACATGGTTTGGCTTGCAAGTTGAGAAATGGTTGTACTTTCTGTATTATCTGTTATTGCTACAAGAGATAGGCAAAATGAGAATGCTACTATTACAGATAGATTATAGGGGAGTAGTAATAGCCCGAGACCTGGGTCACATAATTTAATCTACTTAATTTTTAATTGGCTAGACTATTATCATATAAAAACTCTCTTTAAGAACAAATAAAAACATAAAATGTAGACCTTTGACAATTTTGATGTTAAATTATATTATTAAATATATGCAATATGTAAAATTAAGTGTCCTGTTTTTTTGTTGAATTTCACATATTTTCTGTAGTGAAGTTTACTAAGGTTTATATGTACTTGTGTCCAAAAACGCTTTGTTTAATTTTGAAAATACCTAATAGTTTTTACTATATAATTATATCAATAGCGTACTTTTAATCTTATTAAAAATAAGTACAATTGAGGCCTATAAAATCAAAGGCAGCTAAACACCTTAATGTAGTAAAATGGATTAACTATGGCGCTATCTTGTTATTTAGTTGGACACGCTTTAGTATTTTCATGTCATACCTAACAAATGCAGCTGAATCTCTAGCAAATTAAGTTCAAAAAATTTATTTTTACTCTGTACTCGTACTGTAAACGGAGTTTTGTCATTTAAAATTCAGATTTTTAGGAATATCCCATTTTTTATAAATCTTTTTTTTTTTATTGCCCTTGTAGGCAGACGAGCATACGGCCCACCTGATGGTGAGTGGTTAACGTCGCCCATGGACTTCAGCAATGCTAGGGGCAGAGCCAAGCCGCTGCCTACCGCTTAATACTCTCCACAAGCCTAGTTTGAAGAAGGACATGTCATAGCGCTCGGGAAACACCGTGGAGGGGAGCTCATTCCATAACCGGATGGTACGTGGCAAAAAAGACCTCTGGAAACGCACTGTGGATGACCGCAGTGACTCCAGGTAGTATGGATGAACTCTACTCCGGTGGCGGGCGGCGCGATGGTAAAAACGAGATGCCGGTATCATCTCGAACAATTCCTCAGAGCACTCCCTGTGGAACATACGGTACAAAATACAGAGGGAACCGAAGTCCCTCCGCAGACCCAGAGGTTCTAAACGATCCGTATAATCTGCTCTATAATAAATAATATCGTAGCTACCCGAACAAAGTTATTTCAGCTTCTCGAACCAGGAGTGTTGCTAACACTGGTCCTAGCAAGAGCAGTACTTCGTGGATCAGGAGGATCGGTAATGACCGATTTATGTAGTTTACCTAAATATTTGACAGACTTGGATTTAGCTGCTTTTGATTTTGTAGGCCGCAATTGTAGTGACCCACTGCTGAAATGGTATTAAAATTTGTAAATACAGTTAACATAATTGACACCCGCCCGAATATGACGTTGGTTTTATTTCTCCATATTGGTTCACTTTTTCTAAGTAGCTTTTGGTCCTGTACCTAATTCCAGTATCAGGATAGATATTATTTTCTTATTTTGCTAGTTTTTTTTCCTATCTATTAGGGTATATTGTATGGTCGGTAGCCTAGGGCTAATTCAACTGCGCGCTGACTGGTATGTGAACTCATGGGTTCAACTTGGGAGGACTTCCTAACTCTAGTCCTAGGCAGAGCAGTGCTTCGCTGAATCTACCACCAGAACGCTCAAGCTTATGAAAAGACAAGGTAAACTTGTCTTTATGGTGTAACGCAAATCGTGTGAATTTGTTGTGTATGCCGTATTTAAGTTTTTTTTTTTATTTATTGCTTAGATGGGTGGACGAACTCACAGCCCACCTGGTGTTAAGTGGTTACTCGAGCCCATGGACATCTATAACGTAAATGCGCCACCCACCTTGAGATATAAGTTCTAAGATCTCAGTATAGTTACAACGGCTGCCCCACCCTTCAAATCGAAACGTATTACTGCTTCACGGCACAAATAGGCAAGGCGGTGGTACATACCCGCGCGGACTTACAAGAGGTCCTACCACCAGTGAAAATTTAAGTATTCATAGATTATTTTTGGCTAAAAAACTTGGTAAGTTCCTATTAAACCAAAAAATCCTGAATTGCAGGAACGGTGAGAAGATCTCAATTATTGCTTTACTTTCAAATTGGTTACAAAGTATGTGTACGCTAGTCACTAGCTTTATCACGAAATAGCTGATTACCAAAACTTTTGAGTACCCAATGAAAACAATCGTCAACATGAATTGTCAATCTTCAAAATAGATATTGCCACCTTATGATAATAATATTGTGTGGTGGAATTTACGCATTTGGATCTGCCGACCGAAATAGGTAAGTTAAAAATTAGACGGATTTGTGATTCTTTCGCTTTTTTTATTTTAGAAAATGCAACCTTTAATTGACATTGTTGACAGTAGCAGGTATGTCAGTTTGTCAGAGGGCATACAAAATTTGACATACAAAAATTAGGGTGTGTTTGTAAATTTGTACATTCAATTTTCTTTTAGTGGGCACATAGTTTAGTAATAATTGGTATACCACCAATTAATTTGTGTTTTATCAATTTTGAAATTAACATAATTGGCACAAAACGGTACATTTGGATATTAGTCAAATAAAAAAGTTGTTTACAACAATCTCTACAATACTTTAAAATTTTGGGTAATATTAACAAGGTTTCACAGCAGGAAATATGGCTGAGCTAGCAGCACTATTACAGACTGAAATTCCTGAGGGACGAAATCATCTCACCGATAGCCACACTAATCTTGAAAGGGTGGCAGATTACTGTGAGGCCAATTATTTTCAATCCGAAAATAAACGTCTCGCTTTGGAAAGTACAAAAAACTACACCACCCAATCATTGGCTAGTGTTGCATACCAGATTAATACTTTAGCATACAATTTCCTACAACTGTTGGAACTGCAGACCATGCAATTGGCTGAGATGGAAGGCCAGATGAATCACATAGCCCAAACGGTTGCCATACACAAAGAAAAAGTAGCACGTCGTGAGATTGGAGTTCTTACAGCAAATAAAGTCACCAATAGGCAGTATAAGATCATTGCACCAGCAAACCCTGAGAAGCCAATAAAATATGTGAGAAAAAGCATTGATTACACAGGTATTTCATATTCTACACTTTGAATTACAAAAACCTTTTTATGAAATAGTTCAAATATCTATTTTCCCTATCCCTGGTAACCACGAAGGGTAAAAGATAGGTTCAGTTTCACTGGCTTGGTAAGTAGGCATACAGGGCTAGCTTGTGAGTTTTCTAACACTTACTTTAGCAAGAGAAATGCTTTCCTCCAGCAGCCACTTTATTAGTATCGCAAGCCACTGAAAAAAAAACATTGATGGTATATAGAATCATGGTGTACATAATGTCCTGCTGAAGATTAAGAGAATCTATTAGATACAGGCCCCGCAAGACACTACAATTACTATACTGTAAGAAAAATGCTGTTGGTTAAGTAAAAACCCTAAGCTTATTAGTCTATTAATTATTTACCCAATTTATTATTTGTACATAACAAATAATTGAAAAGTAATTACATTTAATATTGTTTAAGTCTTTGAAATGCTCTGTGGACAGAGGTCACGGTTTTTCTTGAATGCCCTGCCACTTCTTAGCTCTATACAGCATTTAGATGTGGCAGGGGAGCTACCCCTGTATGACACTTTTCATGAAAAAAGGGACTGCAAAGTGTCAGGCAAAAATTTGTTTGGCTCTCTGAATTAGTAAAAGTAAAATTAATTTTTAATCCAAGTACAAGTCGACTTGTACTCTAAGACAATAAGAGTTCTTATTTGGAAGTTTTTTTTTTCCTACCTAAGCTGATAGCCTTGAGAGGCTATATCAGCGGAATCTTAACTAGTAGGTGAGCTCACGGGGCTCAAACCTGACGAAGTTGCTAACACGAACCCTAGCAAGAGCCGTGCTTTGCAGAATCTACCACCGGATCGGAAACGCGACCCACTGTGAAGATCCGGCGAGAAACTCAGTGGGTTGTGTCTGAGGGTTAATTTACTCGTCGAGCCCTTCGTCGCAAGCGACGGGTTCGACGAGAACAGTGACCATTTGGAAGCCCTGCATGTTCTCTCTATTGAAAGTAAACTCACTTGGTGTGACTTATTTCCCCTATTATAACTAAATAATATTAGTTGTTATATTACAAGCAATATTTTATTCTAGCTTTGGATGACATTGGGCATGGTGCTCACTGGAGTAGTGGGGCAACTGGAACACCGCGTGGGCGTCGCTCGAGCTCTGCTCCCGGGGTGGCTCCTCTACCGGCTCCAACAACCAAGCCTCCAACACCACCTGCGGCTGTCAGGTCCTCATCAGCTGCCAACACTGGAACGCTTGGACGTGGAACATTAGGTAAAGGATCAAAAAGGCCGGTTTTTTTCACATAGACTAGAAAATTAATAGGACCTCGAGGTCTTAGGAGAGTAGCCTTTGACTTTAGGTTTCTTAGGTTAAATTTGGAAATACATTTCCTATATCAAGAATAATCAGGTACACAACTCTGAAATTTCTGAACATGTTTTGGGGACAGTGTCATGAACTATTTCATAACATTCTAAATAAAAAATTCAATATTCACTAAAGAAAAACTAAACTCCACATATAATACTGAAGTTATTTAAATGAGATAATGCCCCAATTTCGATATTTTTTCGGCGGTCGGCATTATAGCGCCTTCATACCCATACAGATGAGTGCTTTGCAGATCGGTTAGGGTGGTGCACGAGTAATTACAAAAATGAATAAATAATTGTAGATGATGATATTGTAGAATGTTGATTTTTGATTTAGTTGATGGTAAAATGCTATTACTTATATTTATTATTTTCTAGTTAGATTTATTAATATTTTTTCCAGGAAAATCTTCACGAGAATACCGCACTCCTCCTGCAGTAGCACCTCCTCAAGTTCCGTCACATTATGCACCAAACTATCCACGTCGCCCGCCTGGCTACTCCACTTTGCCAGTTGCACAACCCCAAGTAAATATCAAATTACATCATATTTGACATAGAGTATATGTTCTGTATTTTATAAATACATATTTGTAAGTGAGTATAACATACCAGAAGTTTGCCAGTGATCGAGGGTCGTGTGAGCCCACAAGGGTAGGTACTACTTCTCTACTTATTTATGCCATGAAGCAGTAATACGTTCCGGTTTGAAGGGTGGTGCAGATGTTGTGTTATAGAACTGAGACTTAGTAGCCATGTATCAAGGTGCTTGTTCACCTTTCTAAGCAATAATACAATCAAAAAATAAATGATAATGTAATTAGGAGTAATTAACTCCAATACTTAGATATTATGCAAGTTGTAGATATACTAATAATATACTAATAAGATATAAAAACTTGTAGCACAAACATTCCGAAAGACAAAAAGGCTATTCCAGTAAGCGATACATCAAAAAGATCAGCTAGTCCTAAGCCATGCGATTCACGTTCTACGACATATTCGTCTTCTGCTGTATGGTGATCTTGTGGCTTAGATTGATGGTACATTGGCGGTGGGGGAGGAGGCATAGAATATTCGTATCCACCACCTGTAGGAAAGAAGTATTTCTAGAATGTGACGTCAATTTTGGGGTTACTGACTCTCAAATACATTTCATTTACTAAGAAACATTTGCTTTCATTTTGTTGAGCTAAGTCGACTTTTATGAATTAAAAAGCATAAAATATTAAATTTATATTACTCAGTTGATTAAAACGGGTCGTTTTAACAATTTGAAGTGAAAGTGGACTTGACTAATCCAAAAAAGCTAGACCTGACTTTTTTTTTTTATTGCTTAAATGGGTGGACGAGCTCACAGCCCACCTGGTGTTAAGTGGTTACTGGAGCCCATAGACATCTACAACGTAAACGCGCCACCCACCTCAAGTTCTAAGGTCTCAGTATAGTTACAACGGCTACCCCACCCTTCGAACCGAAACGCATTACTGCTTCACGGCGGAAATAGGCGGGGTGGTGGTACCTACCCGTGCGGACTCCCAAGAGGTCCTACCACCAGTGATATATGAATATAGAATATATAAATATTATAATTATTATTATTATCAATAATTATATATACATATATTGTTATATATAGTTCCAATCAATTTGGGTCCATAATAGTATGTTTGTTTGCTATACTGAATTTTAAATGTTTTTATTTATTTATTTGGACTGTTATATCGTTTACTCTCATTACAGGTGGGTATGGTTCACCCGAACCAACATCAGGCACCAACAAACTATTCTCAACAGGAACTGCATTCCAGTATGCCACGTAAGTTTTAATGTACCTGTTATGCTTAACTATTTATGTGGAAATCCATACTTTTGTCATTAATGTAAATGTCATAATAATGGATACCCATGTTCTTATAGTTTTCGTAAATTGACATAAGGCGATAATTAGTGCCCCACAAGAAAATTATTTCAGCTGTCTTGAAGAGTGGTAGACACCAATATGTATGGGACGTGAAATGGTTACCAAACCACATTTAGTGTAGTGCAATTAGTGTAAAATAAGGCTTACAACAGACAGTGTTAAATTGTCACGATCTTCATGCAATAATATCAAAAATACATAGTTCTCTTATACCTGCTATTTCATTACATACATGGATGCCAATAAAACGTTACTTCGTTTTAAACAGTCTATGTATGTATACTAAAAGTATATTTTATTATTTTATGGTATAGAGGGGAGTGAGCTCATGGTTCACCTGGTGTTAAGTAGTTACTGGAGCTCAGAAAATCATAACCTCATGTTTCCTTCCACCTTGAGACGTGAGATCGAAATTTCAATTACACGGTATAACAGCTTATATCTTAAATATGCTGTATATTTATATTAAGTGAAGGAATCTTAGTGTTAAAATCCGGTCACCGTACTCGCCGAACACGTCGCTTGCGACGAAGGGCTCGACGAGTAAATTAACCCACAGACACAGCCCACTGAGTTTCTCGCCGGATCTTCTCAGTGGGTCGCGTTTCCGATCCGGTGGTAGATTCTGCGAAGCACTGCTCTTGTTAAGGCCAGTGTTAGCAACACACCCGGTTTGAGCCCCGTGAGGTCGCCTACACGTCAAGGAGATGCTGAAATAGCCTCTCAAGGCTATCAGCATAGGTAGGAAAAAGAAAAAAAAAGTGTTAAATATTTATTAATTAAGTACAAGTAAATTATTAAAAGCAAACTTGAACTACATAGTACTAACACAAACTTTTTTATATTTCTGCAGCTCCACCATCACCTTTGATCGGTTCTGACGGTGAACACAGCCAGCATTCTATGAGTCTTCCGGGACAGGTAAGATTGTATATAGCATACATTTGTGTTAAATAGTCGAATAATAATGATACTTGGTCTAACCGTTCGATCTAGTGTTGTGATTTTATCTTGATCTGTAGTGATGTTCAACTACGACATTCACGATAAAGCAATAATAATATATTTTTATGTAATAAAATCAAATACAAAATATTTGCGTTATCAATAGTCGTAAACCGTATTCTGTACCTAAACTAGTTGGTATTACTACCTAAATTGCGTTTGCCAATCATTTTTGCTTTGCATTAGTAAGGCAGCCGTTAAATAACAAAATGAGACCGTCAAACCTCACATTTAAAGGTAAGGCAAATATTGTAATTTTTCTTGTTAAATAATACTAGTGGACCCCCGGTAGTCGAAATTCGACTTTATTTAATTGACATTATTAGTTTGTATACTCGCTGGCACGTAAGTTGGCAAGGTTTTGGCGTAGTGGGGGTAAGGTCGCGCATAGTGCACTTAATGCAACAAAAAAATGGTCACTTTTGTTGCCCGCATTATTCTATGGTTATTGCCATAATTTATTTTTAATTATCTGTTTAGAAGAAAGTTAAAGAAAAGATAGGAATTCGTGAAGTGTATTAGGTGTTATAAATAAAATATAATTGAAAGTTAAGAAGTTTATTTTAAAAAATATACTTAATATTCAAAATTATCTGTCGCCATCGTCACTATCATTTTCTAATAGTGCTACCCCTTGCATTAAATTTATGGTAGCACCTGAGCTAGTGGAAGGAGTTGGCTCCTCATCCTCGACATAACTCTCGTCGCTGTCGTCACTGGCGTAAATAATAAAGCGTTCAGTGACTGAATCGACTATATATATGGTCACTTTGGATGTAGTCAGCCTCAATTTTTTTTACCTTCCCGCATAATTGCGACAGTACACACCATAAACCATTTTTCTGGCATGTCTGCGTAAACTGGTATTAGGTTTTTTTTTTATTGCTTAAATGGGTGGACGTGCTCACAGCCCACCTGGTGATGTTAAGTGGTCACTGGAGCCCATAGACATACACAACGTAAATGCGCCACCCACCTTGAGATATAAGTTCTAAGGTCTCAAGTATAGTTTTTTTTTTTTTTTTTTACGATTGAAGGATTACTGGTGGCCCGGAGGCCTTTCCAGTTTCACCAGGACAGGTGGGTCAAGTATAGTTACAACGGCTGCCCCACCCTTGGAACCGAAACGCATTACTGCTTCACGGCTGAAATAGGCGGGGTGGTGGTACCTACCCGTGCGGACTCACAAGAGGTCCTACCACCAGTAATTACGCAAATTATAATTTTGCGGGTTTGATTTTTATTACACGATCTTATTCCTTCACCGTGGAAGTCAATCGTGAACATTTGTTGAGTACGTATTTCATTAGAAAATTAGTACCCGCCTGCGGGATTCGAACACCGGTGCATCGCTTCATACGAATGCACCGGACGTCTTATCCTTTAGGCCACGACGACCTCGAAAGGTCCTGGCATTGCAATCAAATTTAAAACAATAACACTCGTAACAAAACTAAATTTAAAAAAATAACAATAGTAACAACTCGTTACAAAAATTCAATATAAACAAAGAGTACAACTTTAGTACACGCAAGTGTAATCGGGAGCGAACAGAACGTAGACGCGGTGCAGGAGGCAAGGGTCGACTGACGCACCAATCGCGCGCTCGGAACGATGTTACGTCATAAAGATATACTATACTTCTATAATCACAGATTCCGCCAAGACTACACTTTAGACAAAATTAATAAAGACAAACAATATTTACTCTATTATTAATTTTACCACAGACTAAGTAATAAGAAAAATTTGACTATAAACAAATAGTATGCATGCGTGTGTGTGGCAAATACATGGTAGTGTGTGTAATGTTATTTTAATTGGTTTAATATATTTTATTATGCATAATTTAAAAAGAAAAAAAATCTCCTCTGTATTCTCTGTAAATGTGAGAAATTTCATACTCCTCCGTCCACGCAATTTTCGTAAAAAGGGGTACAAAGTTTTTGTTTCACTTATTAAAGTTATTAATATTTAAATAATATAAATCTGTTGTAATATATCATCAGCGTGGCTCATCGTCGTCTGCTGGAGGCGGGTCGGTCCGCGGCGGCAGTGTGTCCCCGCCATTGCCGCCTCCGCCCATGGAAGATGAACTCGCCCACGATGCCTTTGGCAGACCGCACCATGCCAACGTGAGTAATTAGTCTTTTGGGAGTTAACGACAAAAGGATGATCTTACACCGAGCGGGTAAAATGGCTCGGTGAATCGACAATCCGAATTTTGTTTGTACTTGTACTTGAACTTGTACATATTAAATTACATTTTTTTTTATTGCTTAGATGGGTGTACGGACTCACAGCCCACCTGGTGTTAAGTGGTTACTGGAGCCCATAGACATCTACAACGTAAATGCGCCACCCACCTTGAGATATAAGTTCTAAGGTCTCAAATATAGTTACAACGGCTGCCCCACCCTTCAAACCGAAACGCATTACTGCTTCACGGCAGAAATAGGCAGGGCGGTGGTACCTACCTGTGCGGACTCACAAGAGGTTCTACCGTCAGTAAAAGTCTCTTTAAAGTGTCTTTAAGAAGGCATTAAAAAGAGTTTCAACTGCCAGCCACGTTCGTCCCCGTTCCATTATATTTTGTTTCTTTTCGAATCACACCTCTCAAGGTTCTTAGTTATGTCCAGTCATTGTCGATCGTATATCCTGTCAAAGAGGTTGCACATCACGACACTTTGAAAAAAAGTTCTAATAATGAATTGTCGAAACAGTTTTCGTTGCAGAACAAAATGGGATCACAGTACACGTCGGCCGTACCCGCTATTGTACCCGACGAAGAAGATCTGCCAGGTTGGGTACCAAAGAATTACATCGAAAAAGGTATGTTAATAACTCAGGCATACTAATTTGTGTGCTTTGATATATATAATTATGTAAAAAGAAGAATAATGCTACTATAAGAATGCCGCGAAAATCTTAGTCGTATTTTTTGTCAGGGAAGATTTTTGAGCTCTTGGAGAATCATAAGTTCACATGACGTCATGAAGCATGTATAAAACAGAGATATAAAAAGGGTCCACCAAAAACACATCAATGGCTATCTATAGTAAATAAAAAAAATATAAATAATCCGGGACAAGAGACGCTCATTTCGCCCCAAAGTATAATTCACTGTACCATGTATTTAAATAAATATACATATTATGTAGGTATTAAACATCCTAGGAGTAAACAAACTTGTTCATCACACGAACGTTTTTGTGATCTGGGAATCAAACCCATGACCCTCTGAACAATAGTCAGGGGTGCTATTGACCATATCAGTCAGTACCGTCACATGTCAATGATTTTTATAGGAGTCGTATATTAAATTTTTATTTTGCACTATCATTAAGTTTTATGACATGAAAAAGCTTATAATCTTGTACATGTTTTGAAGTTCAACTTTTTTTTTTTCAGTTGTGGCGATCTACGATTATTATGCTGACAAGGAAGACGAACTGTCCTTCCAAGAAAGTGCAGTTATCTATGTCCTAAAGAAGAATGACGACGGCTGGTGGGAGGGGGTCATGGACGGAGTCACTGGGTTGTTCCCCGGGAACTATGTGGAACCTTGTGTTTAGGCAAAAAGTAAATGTTCATAAACTAACTCAAAAACCAATCAAGCAAATTTAATAAAATTTAAACAAAAAAAATAAAATTATCTTGTAGTGAATGAAGAACAAATGTTGAAAGAAATAAAATTCACTTTAGTGATAATTAAAGGAATCATTAAAATATAAGATCAGCTTAAAATAAAATCATTGAGTATTCATAGACTAGAGCTTTGTAATAGGTTCTTTAGTGCGAGAAATTTATTCAGTTTTATGCCAATGCTTTATATTTTGCGTTTAAGGACAAGACTGGGATAGTTTTTATTTTTCGTTCATTGAAGAAATTTGTTTAGGTCAACTCGTAAGGTCTTTCAGATGTTTGTGCGTTTTTCAATCATTTTGTAATACATTTAAGAACCACATCAAAATGCCGAAATCTACCTTAAGACACAAGGTCAGAGTCCCAATTCAATTGTACAAAGGTCCCACCTTTCAAACCGGACAGCACGATTGCTTCCTTTAAGGTCTAACAATACATCTTTTACTAACCATATTGTTTAATTTAAGATATAATAATTTAAACTAGTAATATTATTTTGAATATTTTAAAGCATAGAAGAGATATCTATAAAAATCTTTAACATTTAAAAATGTTTAATTATTAAAAAAAAAATTTTTTTTAAGCGTTTGTAATTAGGGTACACTATGGTCACTACAGTAATAAAACTTTGGTTAACGGCAATGTTTAATGAGAATTAGCATTTAGTTACATATACAAACAAGATTTATTTTATGTTTTAACGTAAATGTTTGAGAAATCGGAACACTAAAATATAGGCTTTTTATTATTAATCAAATATTTGAAATGTAATGTTATTACTTTTAATAAGATACTGTAATTATATTATTTCATGGCTGATTTGAAGTAACACTGTATTTACAACTTAAGTCCTAAATACCAATTTGCATTTTATTAAATAAAACATTTTATTGTATCATTTTGAATCTTATTTATTTTAAATTTCTTAAAATCTAGTGAAGGCATTTAAATTATCCGTTTCGCCCAACGTTACATAAACCTTAACTCGATCTATTCTAATCGCAGAGGCCAGCTAGCACACGTTACTCAGAACAAATGTGAAAACTTGTGACCATTGACAGTATACAAGTAAACTTATAGACCTTATGGACTTTAATAGTGTTTGAAAACTCGTTCAATTAGTTTAGATAGTTATTTTACTTTTAACTCAAATTTAAGTTTAGGCTACATTTTGGTTTTTAAGTAACTTGAGAAGATTCAGCATCTTAAATACTTCCGTAACAGGTGTTTCCTGAGTCATCTATATACAAAAGTCATCTATTTATGACTGAAATTTTATAATTCACCCCTTTAATATTGACTGGAAAAAAACAATACTAATAGATATAAAAAACCGCATGTTTTGGTAACATGCAAGTGACCGTAATTTACCACTAATTAAGTAATTAGAAAATATATCTGGCACAAAGATCATGAGGTCTCCTTTGCATTGGAATATCTATATATTTATGGTATATCGTGCTTCGTCCTTTATAGGGCGGGACATGCGATTGCTTCGTGACTAATAATCCGAAAGTTGCAGTATCAATCCATATGGATACACGAATACAATCATCAAAAACGAACACAGATTGGTCCATTTTTAACTGAAATTATGACCGCTTGTATTCAAACATTAATTTGTTCATAATCCACAGCAAACACAGTGTTCATGTTTTTTTATTAAGATGTAATCATAAATTTAACCAGTCTCATGACGCTTTTTTAGATTGATCGTTATGAGGATTGTAGAGTGTGAAGTGATACATTATCCAAAATAGTCATAGCTCGGTATATATATCATGTATCAAAATTTATTCTTTGTCATCAATTTCCATATTATCACTGGAAGCAATATCTTCTTTTGCTTCAGCATTTTTCTGTTGTGATTCATCTGTGGCGATATTGTCAATATTAATACAAGTCTCTTCATCATTTCGGTTTTCTGTCTGTTCTTCTATAGTTTCTTTTGCTTTTTCTGTCTTCTCTTTTTGGTTTCTTTGATCCCTGATAGAAAAAAAAACGTTGTAACTCATATTCAATCACAAAATGAGATTTAAAATAGTACTACATATTTATTTAATTGATGTTCTTGAAATTCTTATGTTAATCACAAACTCACTGAGAAGTTCTTTATTTACTTACTTTGAAGGACCATTGACAATTTCGATGACGTCATCATCTTCATACTTGATATTAATTACCGCTTCCACTTTAGACTGTATGCTCTTCAATGTTGAATGAAATATTTTTGAACTGGCCTGTAGCAAACAATATTACTGCATTTATTTGGAATGGTTTGTTGGGTTGATTAGTTTCAATAAAGGTTTTTTTTTGCTTGCAAGTGAGACTGCTTCGCAGCAGAAATCTCAGGATGGCGGTATCCGACCGAGTCCACAATACCCCTAACAATTAATATATGATAAAAGTATGGTTTGGTAAATTACATTAGCAGTAATTTTGTCGTTTAGTTACCTAACTGCTGTTCACAATTTAATTTTACGAATCAGAGATTAGTCACTACCTGGGTGGACGAGCTCACAGCCCACCTGGTGTTAAGTGATTACTGGAGCCCATAGACATCTACAACGTGAATGCGCCACCCACCTTGAGATACAAGTTCTAAGGTCTCAAGTATAGTTACAACGGCTGCCCCACCCTTTAAACCGAAACGCATTACTGGTTCACGGCAGAAATAGGCAGGGTAGTAGTACCTACCCGGGCGGACTCACAAGAGGTCCTACCATCAGTAATATATTCCTCAGTCATATTCCTCTGTCCGCGCAATTTTCGTAAAAAGGGGTACAAAGTTTTTGCTTCACGTATACATCTATATAGATAACATGTGCATTGTTTACTGTGAGTGTGGTGACACGGGCGCGTGCGGCGGCAAGGCTGGCGGTGAGGTCGGAGAGCTGGTCCTGCGCGCCGCGCTGTGCTTGCTGCGTGCTGAGTGCGGCGCGCCGGGCCGCCGCCAGCGCGCTGCGGGTCGACTCCAGCGCTCGCTCCAGCGCCGCGCGCTCCGCCGCCCAGCGGGACGTGCTGCTCACCAGAGCACCCACGTCCACTACGCGGTTCTTGTAGCTCACGATACCTAGAACCACAAGTACATATTGGGGTTATCGATATTGTAGTCCTCTTCGGTAGTAGACAACCTTTAAAATAAAAATATAACATTTTAGACAAAACTAAATCTAATCATTTTAGAGATATATGTATTGCTAATGTTTTGTTAAAGTGAAACTTTTATTACATCGTCTCAAACTTTTTCGTCTGTGTGTTGCATGTCGCGTGACGGTCGGCCGCGTAGTTGGGACAAAGTGAGAGGCGCTCGTCAGAGCAGCCAAGGCCAATATGGAGGCGCCTATAGTTCGCAGCAGCTGACCGTGGATAAACTAGTAAGGCGAATTTACATTACGAAATTAGTGGCATGAAATTAATTTCGTGACATTAGTTTTATCGACAGTTTCACGTGTAATTTAATACTTTCGTAATGCATGCATTAATTTCATGCATGCAAATTAGTTTCGTGCCCTGCGCGATTTTTTGGTGAAATTAATGTCATGCAACTAATTTCATAGTGTAGACGCGACGTGAAACTAATGTCGCGAAAGGGCCTGCGCCGCGCGGACGTGTGTATTGTTAGTCCGGACGCGCTTCAAGCCTTGAAAATGGCAAACCAACGATGGAGTACAGAAAAAAAATACAATTCATTAATGAATATCAGCGACAAGAGTCTCTGGGACCCGAAACACCTACAATATAAAAATAGGCATGCCCGAGATGCGGCCTACAAAATAATTATGGAAGCCATGGAGATGCAATATGTCAAAGAAGCATATATTATATAAGCATTTCTTGAGCTACATTGAATATAGCAAAATATAGCTTTGATGCTGACGGCGCCATGGTTACTGCGATACTGTGGATTTCGCGACACTAATTTTTTAACGAAATTACTTTCGCATGTATCGAAACTACTTTCGTGCAACTGAGTTCAACATGCATGACACTAATTTCGTAATGTAAACTCCGCATTACTCATTTGTGCCAGTGCTTCACGCTATTTTGTTTGTTTTTGTCAGTGTTTAATGTAAATGTTGTTTGTCAGAATTAAATGTCTATAATGTGAAAAAAAGTTTTACTTTTACCTGTTTTAAATATATTTACGTACTGTAATATCTATTTTCATTGATATATATACATATTTCTTTTCACTCCATATCCCTTTTCTGAAGCGATGTTGATAAAGTTGCCAGTTATGGCTTGCCCTGAAGTTAGTTAGCTGTTGGGCTCAGTAAGCGTTGACTACGTAAAAATGGTACATAGTAAAGCCTTTCTCCATTTCACAACATGTTACATAGTCTAAATTTCATTTATACTCATATTTAAGTAAAATAATATTGTGAACTGCAGCTATTTTTACCAGAGTCAGAAATATCGATCGTCTTCTTAGAGCCATCTTCTTCACCTACTTCATTAGAATCTTTGAAAACAGGCAGCAAGAGACGGTTACCAGCTGCAATAGTTTCTTCCAACTCTGTGATCTTGATAACAAAATATGCGAAGTTAATATTGTTTTGTAGCTTAAATATCTTCCAAAGTGACATAAGCCAAATTCTTACAATACTATATTGTAATTTTGTCAAAAAGCTTTACTTACATGTGATGGTACATCATCAGAACTCACTGTTGTTTCTAGAGGCAGATCTTGTATTACCTCTGATGAGCCTGAAGACAGATCTTTGATAGCTGCTATTAAATACCTAAAATGAATTCTAATTTAAAGTAAACCTTTTAAAAGCTCACTCGTATCAGAATAATGGTATATTATTGGCTATTGTTCGATTATACGACCTTATATCGTTTGTGTGAAGTAACATTATTCTCTTCAATTATTATTAATACCTAAGCCGATTTGTAGCACCAAGTAACATAAAATTTGAAAAAATAATTAACGACGAATTTCTGACCCCAATCACTAGTATTTACTTTTCAAGCATTAAATAAATAAATTACAGTTCGATT